CCCCTTTTCAAAAAGGGATAGCTCGTTACCCCCTGTTTTTGGGACTCTTAAAAACCCTTTTCCCCCCCCCCCCCCCCCCCCCCCCCCCCCCCCCCGCGCCAATCCCCTATTCCCCCTCTGACCTAAAATTTTTTGAAAGCAAAACCGGCGACCATCGCACAGAACTTCCTACAGTATTTCCGTTCCCACCTTTCATATATTCATGAGAATATTGTTTTTCTTACGTACCCCTTTTATTTTGGAATTTTTCTTACGTGCCCTTGTCTTCACCTCATCCTAGAACGACTTTCCAGTCGAGGTACACAGTGTCTTGGGCTTCGCAAGTCGTAGCGTACAGTATTTCCCAACTTGACCACATGAGAGCAACGCGACTCGTTGAGGCGCTGCGACCCCACTTTCCACAACCCGTTGTTTGCCCTGCTGTCTGGATGGGCGTTCACGATGTATGAGCACTCCTGGGAGGGGCACTGTACTTACTGTATACCCGCGATTTCATTAAATCATGTTTTTGCGCGCAATTGCGCGCAAAAACTGCCAGATAATGCTGCAAAATGAAAAAATCACCACTTCGGCCTTCTTCAGGCGACCCACCGATAATCGCGATCAACCATCGAAATCGAGATCCCCCATGCCTTCCTAGGGTCCCTGTAGCCCATCTCCATCATGGCGATGTAACGTGTAAGTCGTGGCTACCATTGTCTGAAGTCGCTTCTTCATGAAGAATCATGAAGTTTCTCAGTTTCTGCATGAATAAACAAGCAAAAAGCAAAAATAAAAAACAACCCGAAATCGCGGCTGTATACGCAGGCGCCCAGAGTCCGATTTTTTTGCCTTATGGGATCGGCCCACGGTGGCGCACATGGCCAAGGATGCCATCAAGATGGTGTGCTTGTCTGGGAGCGTGCTCCCTTTGATCAAACTCATTTTTGCGACGCGCTCTTCACCTCTTCACGTATTCAATCTAGCGCTCCAAAGAAAAGGGGCTCATAAAAAAGGGGTATGTAAGGAAAATTCCAAAATAAAAAGGGTATGTAAGAAAAATTCTCTTATTCATTCTCCCATGAGTATCCGCTTGCGAGACAACTTCTTTTCCCTTCTTTTCCCTTCTTTTCCCTTCTTTTCCCTTCTTTTCCCTTCTTTTCCCTTCTTTTCCCTTCTTTTCCCTTCTTTTCCCTTCTTTTTCCCTTCCTTTCCCGTCATCCTGCCCACCATTTTCAAGACAGACACAAATAAAACCGGTGTTTGCTTCCCCCCCATCTTAGGGTGACCCCACCGCCAACAAAATTTCTGTCCTAAAATTCCAACCACTAAAGTTTGGACCGATGGACTAAAGTTCGGACCGATGGAAGAAATTTTGAACCCCACTGCGCCACCATTTGTCCTAAAGTTTAGAATTTGGGAAGGATTCTTTTCCAAACCAAAATTATTTGGTCGAGATTTTTGTCCAAAGCGCCGTTTGGGCGAGCTTCGTTCTATAGTAACGGTACAGAAAACATCTGAATTTCATGTGCTTACAGCTCTACCAAAGCTCTTCCAAATGGCTTTGGGGCTGTTTTGACTGAAGTCCCATCAATAGTGTGGGACGCAAAAAGGAGTGTTGTGCAGCCTTCGCTCGTGGACATTTCCCATCTTCTCCCTCCTTCTCGTCTTCTGAGAAGTGCAGGCAATGGCTGAGGTGGTTACTAGGACTGATGACTCGGCATTAAGAGTGAGGAAAAAGGGTAAGGGACTGGGGTGGTCAGACGAGGAGAATCTTGCCCTGTGCGTTGCTGAGAGCGCAGTGTCTGAGAACGCCGCGAATTGAAAGCGTGGTGTACTTGCCGAGTTGATAATTCCCAAACAGGAGCCTACATATTATGGAGAGCGGGCAAGTGACGAGCAAAACTTGCCGCCAATTGTGGAACAGACGCGTGCATTAGCTTGCTTCTTTGCGCCAAATGTATTTCTACGACATACTTGTAGCCTAATTGGGGTGACCCTGAATATGAATAGATGTATCGTGTTACAGGCGCGATGGGGTTCATCTCTGAATCACCACCTCCCCCAAAGCGCGGCTTGATTAAAAGATAGTAGATCCAATTACCGGAGGACAACTGTCTGCTTTTTGCGATTTTGGGCAAGGCGCGGCGGGGTCACCCTTAGGACGCAAAAAATACTGCCATGAATTTGATATCGACCCATCCCTCGCTGCCTCTTGCTCTTCCGATTTGTAGGTTCTTTTGCCGCATGTTGGATATCGCTACTACATGTACATATTCCGTGCACATCCTTCACCACCTGTCCCCTGGCCAGGGGGCACTCCCTTTTACCATAGGTTATGGTCCCGTGGCGCATTCTGCTGCGCACCGATGCTTAACGCAAGTGATCGCGAGTTCAACTTTACAGTATCAAGATTTTCATCTGTAGCCGTACAGTTGAAAATCTTCGGCGACCGTCAAGCACCCCCTCTTACAGCACGCTCCAACAGCTCCAACCTCTGCTGCTCATCACCATCACAAGCACGCTCAAACACCACGGCCTCTGCTTCCTCACCACTTCCCCGCTTCCATTCACCTCACTACAAGTCAGATCGCGGCGACTGTTGGATATCGCTAACGCTCATCTTTTCTAATCTTCCCCTACGTTCCTTTCCTTACAGCTCTGTCCGATATCGCTACTACATATACTGTGCACATCCCTCACCACCTGTCCCCTGGCCGGGGGGCACTCCCTTTTACCACACCGCACAAGGGAAGGGTCGAGCAGGAGATGTCGTACTCATGAGATGCGAAATCTCAAATGACTTGCGATTTTCGGTCAGTACATCGCTACACATGTCGAAATTTGCATGTGAATTTTGGATGTTTTGAGTAAAAATTCTCGTTGCGTAATCCCTCTATTGCACCGGTGCAGCATGTCATACAGTGCAGGTGTATGAAGGCGTGGCACCAATCGACTTGAAAAGTTAGATAAATAAACCCATATGGCGTGACATGAGAATACGAAAAATAAAAAAAAATTAGATCGAGGGCACAAGCGCACGCAAGGCGTAGGCTCTCGGCACCAGTTCGTTTTTTTTTTCTCTACTTAATGACCGCAACCGAACCGGTGCCGAAATTTCTCTCGGCTTGAACCACAACCTCCTCGCACTAGTGCCTTCATCATGTCACCTCTCGCCGCCCTGCACGACGCCTTGCCTCTGCTCTCAGTTGTTCACGAGGAACACGAGGAGCAGGATTCTTGCCATGGCTCATGTCTTACGCGATGGAAAGTCGGCTTCGCTGTGATTCTCCTGTTTGAGGGGCTTCTCTTCGGCCATGCTGCTTACTTCGTAAAGCGACTCACGGCCGCACGGGCCTTTCATATATCCATGCATTTTGGAAATGCTCTTTCTGCTGGTGTTTTTTTCGCTGCTGGCATGTTACATGTCTTTCCTGAAGCTATGGAGCTACTTGGAGGTGGTGAGAGTTCGGAGATCCATCACAATGAACGACAGGAGGATGATGAGGAGCACGATGAGGAGGAAGGACATGGGGGCCATAGCGCAGAGTTTCCATGGGCTGCCCTCGTGCTCATGCTCTCATTCTACTTTCTGTTTTTCGTAGAACAGATTCTCATTCCAAAGCTATCTCGAAGTCGCCCTGCGCATGATGATCAAGCTGCACTAAAAAGCAGTCCCGTAGATCGAGATGTAGAAGAAAACGAAGTAGCTTCAATGAAGAAAGTAGAACCAGAAAACGAAAAAGAGCTAGTCTCTGTCGGCTTCAAGTCCAGGGAATTCGTACACGGTCTGATCCAAATCCTCGGTGTTTCTGCACACAGCCTGTTCGAATCCATGGCATTAGGTCTATCTCAAGAGTTTGACACTGTGCTGAACATCTTTATTGCGACGGTGTCCCACCGCTGGGCGACGTCGCTGGCCCTTTCGTTCAAGCTTTCTCGGTCGCTATCTTACTGGGCTATCATAGTACTGTTTCTTATTTTTTCTGGGATGGTTCCATTCGGAATCGGCATCGGCGCTGCTCTTTCGCAATTGCCTGAAAAGGCTCAGGGTGTATTGTTCGCCGTCTCCGCTGGCACTTTTATTTATATCGGAGTCTATGAATCGATGGCCGAAGAATTTGTGCAGCATGAAAAGTGGCATGGCCGGAAATTTATTGCTACACTCTGTGGAGCCGGGGTAATTGTAGTTACGACGGCCATTCTCGTAAGGTTTGATGTGCATGGGTAGGAGTCGTCAAGCCTTTGCCCTGGTACAGATTCGGCAATGCGCCGTGCTTGGCACTGGTGGCGGCGACAGACCGAATCTCCAAAGAATATTCAATTTTTGCCCTTTCCTTAGTTATCATTGAACTGAATTCAGGTGCTGCGTGTAGTTGAATTACTAGTACTGCGAGTAAACTACAAAAATTCAGAGCTGTCGACCTTTCGAATTGCTGCAACCACCTATTTTCTTTAAGGTCACCAGTTCTTCTCTCATTGCTCTACGGTACTCTTGCGAACTTGCTCATTATCAGCCAGCCATAAATGTCTGTCAGATAATCAGGCCAAGGAAACTCGAGAATCACCCGAAACGGCACACGCTAGGTGAAGTAGATGGCCGTGATATCCGAAAGGACCTCTATGAATGGATCTGCGTGGCTTGTCACCTGAACTGGTGCATTCTTCTTGTGTGCCCTGTCTTCAAACCAGCTCGTGTCTCGCCTTCGTCTATGATCACATTCAATTTCCAAGACAATGAGACTAGGAAGGACAAAAACGGATAATGAAAGGAGGCAAGGTAGCGGTCCTAAGGCATCCCAGTTTGGCAGGCGGTTCGCCGATCTCCAGTTTTGGGTGCGCTGTCACACCGCCAACGGAAGTCCGGCCGCTCGAAGACTTCGCGCTGTACCGCGTGGCCCCGGAGCCACGCGCAATTGCGCTCCTCGGCAGCAAAGCCCTTGCGCATGAAATATGGTACGTAGTAGAGTTCAAAACGATGAGCGGGGAATTAATAGAAAGGATCTCTGAAAATTATTGTATTGGGGTTAGTTCTATACTGAAATGGTAGCTTATTTGGGTCTATCCTCTACCGTATTGTTCTAAGCAGTAGTGCCTAGAAGATTCATAAAAGACGTGGAGCTGGGACGGGGAAAGGAAAAGCGGGTACGGCACAACCACTGACTAACCCTGAGGGCCCCAATTTACCACGTCAAGTGTGTCCAACTTAAAGACCCCCTTTGCAACCAAAACTCAACAAAAGTAAGTTACTCCATTCACATTTCTAGCGCTGCGCACCGCCAAAGTCAGAAGGGTACTGCGTCGTCCAATGGAGTTCGATTACGCGCTGTCACAACTTGCAGTGAGATGACGTAACCTTCCCCCCACAAATACTAGTGCTGTTCGCAGACATATTCAGTGTGCGTCTTTTCATTTCGCGAAACTTGTGCCATTTCTGACATCGAGACAGTACTGTACTGTACTTGCTGTCTTTCCAACTTTCAGCATTAAACTTTTCATTGCTCGGGCTGACCGCAATGCG